CCCAACCCCCAATAGACCCAGAAAGCAGCAATCAGACCTACCATAAGACCATCGCTCTGCTGAGCTTCCACAAATTAGGATGTCGCCCAATCGCGATCAACCCGGCATCCCATTGAAAATAACCGTCATTGGCGCCGGTATCGCCGGTCTCTCCTCCGCGATAGCACTCGCCGACTCAAATCTCAACCACCAGATCACAGTTCTCGAATCCAATACCTCCCTCAGCGAGTTCGGCGCCGGCCTGCAACTCTTTCCCAATAGCACCCGCATCTTGAACAAATGGGGCCTCACAACATCCCTGGAGAAGGTCGCGGTCCAGTCCTCCCATATGTCCTTCCGCCGCTGGGAGGATAACACCGAGTTGGCCATCAACATGAACAACCCCACCAACACATGGCTCTACGGCTGTCCCCAATGGCAGATTTACCGACCTGACCTGCAGCAAGTGCTTTTCGAGCGCCTAAAACAGCAGTCCAATGTAACGGTTCTCTTCGGCGAATCCGTCGTCTCCGTGGACCACGAGACCGGCACTGTCAACACGTCAAACGGGAATAACTTCGAGGCAAATCTTGCCGTCGCAGCTGATGGAATCTGGTCTCGCTCCAGGCGATGCCTACCCGCGTCAAAAGATATACTCCCCACGCCATATAAAGAACATCACTACCGCGCGGTGATTCCGCGGTCGCGAATGATTTCCAACCCCGTGACGGCGGGGTTCATGTCGTCCCGCGAGACGAAAGCGTGGGTGGGACCCGGCGTGTTCGTGCTGGGGTATACGGTTGCCTCGAACGAGTTGTATAATGTTGTTATTGGGGTCCCGCGGCCGAGCCAAAGGGCGCCCCTTGGACGGTGGAATCACACTGCCGATGTTGAAGCCATGCGGGGGCTTGTATCGGGGTGGTGTGAGGAGGTGCGCGCGTTGGTCTCCCTCGTTCACAAGGGGGAGTGCGTTTCCTGGACGCTGGGGGAGGTCGGTCCGATTCCTAGCTATGTGAGCACGTCTGGACGACTGGCTCTTATTGGGGACGCAGCCCATGCTCTTCTCCCGCATGCTGCACAAGGGGCGGGCATGGCGCTGGAGGATGCGGCTAGCCTTGCGGAGTTTCTGGGCCATTTGACGTCGACGGAAGATGTGGCCTCGATGATGGGGGCCTGGAGCGGGTTTCGACAGGCTCGCGTGGAGCATTTGCGTAGTATCAGCCGGGGCACTGCGGTTGATATGACGCTTCCGGATGGCGAGCTTCAGATTGCACGGGATGTGAAATGGAGTGCTATTCGCGATCACCAGCGAGCGCAGTTGGCCGAGCTCGGGATTGAGAAGGTGAGAGAGAAGGTACTCAGGAATAGACCGGCTCCTGATCCAGCTTGTAAAAGCACGGTTGAACCGGGTGGAAGGATGTGGGTGCATGGGTTTGATGTGAGTGAGGAGAGTAAGAAGTTCTGTCTTGAGCGACTGGGAGTGGGGGTATAGTTTGGGAGATGACAACTTGCATGTCATGACATTTTGGGCCGTATAGCTTCTGGCCACGAGCTGATCATCTCATTTCGGAGCAATCGGCACTTCTGGCTCGACATCCCCGTAGGAACTCTGGGTGTTGGTCGTCGCGGATCTTAAAACGACCCTCAAGTCATGGGCAGGGGTTTGTGTGCTGCGTCACCTATTAAACATATACTACGTGGACGATAAAAAAATCCTCATCTCATTTACCAAGATTAGCTTCTGTTTTAATCCCCCGTGTTGGATCAGTCGTACGATTGTAATCGCTGTGAGTACGATCGGTCCCGGCCTCTCTCAAAGGCGGGTATATCTCAAGACCCCTAGACCAAAACATTGGCCAGTATTCGATATGGGGCTTAACCTGACTGATATACCCAACAGTATACGTATTGAGTTGAAGTTCGCTACCTTAGTTGTTTAGTAGACTGGCGAGTTACCTTCGTCGGTCGAGACCTAAGGATAGGTTGCCTTCGCGAACACCGTGTGAGTGTGACGCCGGGTTGCATACCACTCAGTTGGAATTGTCCGATTCTGACCTTTAGTGCTTGAAATAGATAACTACGATTCCCGAATAATTCCAGCTGTAGCGAATATCATGGTTTCCTTAACTACGTTATCGTATGATACTGTATGCATAAGGTATATTACAGTTTCCCAGAATGCTACCTAGCGCTGCTGAACGTATTGAATGCTCCATTCAGATTCTCGTACTCGTCTATTCCCATTCTATCTTTTGGTTTGACACGAGAGTATCTGTCGCATTTCTTCCTGGAAGTTGTGAACTGTGAGGTGCAGCCCTTGCGTTGTGATTTCCGCGCTAGGAAGAAAGATCGGAGAGGTAAGGACTCACACAGGTCGCCAGCTACGGCATTCCAGCCACCTCGCTCTCTCCGGGATGGAAAGGATGCAATCTTTTTGAAGCTTGTGGAGGGATGGATTTTATCAATATACTATGTAATTTATAGTACTATAATCGAATTATAGTGATAGCATCTCATATATGTCAACCATACGGATAGATCGACGTTGCGGCTTCTCATTCACGACCGTGTTGGACGCTGTAGGGTATGTATTTAGATATTATTATGCCCAGGGGTGCTGCCAGTTAAGGAGATGTACTGACTGAAATGCGCAGTTCAGATTTTGATACAGAAGGGGCTTCTTGGTAAGACTGGTGGTATCAAGGAAGTTGTGTGAAGTGCCTGGCTCTGACTGGTTTGGTTGGAGTACAATCGGGTGATCTCTGCCCGCCTCCCCGAAAAGCCTAACTGGTCTATGAATTGAGGCCTCGCCTACTGCGCGCTAAGTCTATTATGGAATTTCGGAGGCCCTGCCTCTGTCAATACCTCAGCCTCTACGCGAGGGAGCGGGGGTGTACGGCGAGAGCGGCGTGGTAGCTGAAAAGCGCCACATCTGACTATCGTCATTGATAACGTTCGTGAAACTAGGGAGATGATCAATCATTTGGTTCAAATGAGATGATTAGGATGTTTCGCTAAATATCTTGGCATATAGTTGGAATGCCGCCCTCCGCCATACTACGGATGCTGCAAATATACTGGGAAGGGTAGCAGGAACTTAGGGTCAAACGTATTCATGTATGTTGGGTGCGATGATCTCCGGAATAGGAATGTTGAATCAGACCGCTATTTTTTATGGCTAGCTGAGGTCTTGCAGGAGAATTCTGGGCAGTCGAAAAACTCTTGCGACTACTGGAAGTAAGGTAGTCTAGGGATAGGAATCTTGCCTTACTCAGTCACTCAGTGTGCTCCTGTAGGAGACACAAGGGGATGGAAAATATTTCGAAATACCACAAGCAGGGTATCTAGGGATAGTAAGATTTGCCAACCATCATTCACCATGGATCAAGTTATCAGATCATTGCCTCATCCATGCGACCCCTCGAGCACGAGATCTCTCGCACAGACAGCTCATGCGTGTCAGAATATTGATTCATATTGTTTGGACGCAGCCTGACTGTCGCTCCGTATTCAACACCGTCACTTCACGCGCTATAGTTGGTAGTAGTGGTTGGTATGTCATTCATAACATGCGTTTACTTCTTGGCAACCACCCTTCATCCGTCTTTGATATTAGGATATCATAAATTTGGGATCTTGGAAGTAATCATTACTGCAATAGGTTGGTTTCTAAATTAAGAATCGTACTGTGGGACCTCCCAGGTAAATGGGTGAAACATTTCAAACTCCCAGAGACCCCCGGGCTTTTATATATCCTACATGCAACGATGGCCTTATTGACCAATTTATATAGCCATCTTATTGCATGGCGACCCCTTAGATATAGATAAGGTCATGTCACATCAGTGCGTAAGGGCCACAGGCTAAGCCGACAAGCGCAACGTGGATCCTGCTTGTATTACCTCGTTTCATCTTGTCATTTCCTTTTTTTGGTTTTTGTCGCTTGGTCTTTTCCATATTTGGGGACCTTCTTGATTATCTACTGGACAATTACCGCACACTCCGGTGTCAGTAAATCTAGGTAAGTTACACACATGCAAATAAGAAGCAAATGAGGGACAAACACATACAATAATCCCGGAAACCGATGTTTAAATACCCAGTCACGACAGGCACCAATATTGGCCCCGTGTTTACCAAGCTTTCCAGGACCCTCCGAACCGACCCCAGGCATCACTTCCACCTGTACAACCCCAACTATTCACAATGGCTCTTTCATTTCAACTGAATAATGAGGATCACCAAGTCAAGTCCTATGGTACAATTGTTATAGCCTTCACTTGTATCATCACGTTTCTCTCCTTTGGACTTGCCAAATACAACCCGAAAGTTGCAAGATCTAATCCGAGGCGCGCAAAGGCCTGGAAGCAGTATGGTGGGCGACGCCCAGCGAGCAGCGCAGATTCCGAATGGACAGAACAAAGAGAGTCAGAGTTCTATAAGGAACTCTTTTTCAAGCTGCAAAACCTGGAGGAATTCCCTGACACAATACCTACCGGACGAAAAGTCTTCCTGCTTCTGCTGTCGCAAGCATTGAAAGATCACGTCGAGGCCCCACACACCAGCAGCATATTGTCAGTGAAGTACTTCGAGGAGAAGGAGCTTGCGCGCTCTCTCCAGGACCATCAGGATGAGGTCACCAGGCAGTATCATGAATATATCAGTCGCCGACGATCCGGGTGTCCGCGGGAGCTCTTTGATAACAAACAAGTTGCCGGAGATCGTCTGCGGGAAATGGCACCGTTAAAATTAGTCGACGGGGCCTGGCTAGGGCATTTAAACAAGATCACCATGCCTTTCCTGCTACGGCCCATCATGAAACAGACATGGCAAGTGTTTACTGAGGAACTCGGAAATGGCAACCGGGAACAGCATCATGTTAAAGTCTTCGAAGACCTTCTGCGAGTATTTGAGCCAGATTTGCCCTCACCAACAACAAAGACCATTCTACATCCTCGATACGGGCTAGGCAATCTCAAATATTGGAGGGCAGCAGCGGCACAACTGCTAGTTTCTCTCTTCCCGCATGAGTTTGTTCCCGAAATTCTTGGATTTAATATGCATTTTGAACTCCTTCAACTGGACACCATGCAAGCAGCAAAGGAGTTACCCGAGGTTCAGCTCAACCCTTATTATTTCTTGCTTCATGTTTCAATTGACAATAACCACTCCGGCCACGCTGCTATGGCTATGGCGAGTGTTGTGGACTATATCCACCATCTTGCCGAGACTGAGGGTGAGATGTCTGCTGAGGTGGGGTGGAAGAGAGTCCAGGCTGGGTACGTCCTCAGCGAGTGGCTATCTCAAAAGGGGAACCAAGCAACCAACATTATTCCGCAACTCAATAACGACTCGAACGTTCGACTAGAGTCAAAAGTTCTTGCCATATTTGGCTCAAAGACCCAGGCTGCCCATCGACTGCATTGTGGTAGCCGGGTCAAGATTGGAGGCCGCCTGTTAACTGACTGGCTGGATCCTGAAGCATTCCGGGCCGAAGAATGGCAGCAGGAGTTTATTCGATGTTTTAGCACATGCAAGCCATGGATATATCCAGGAGACAGCCAGAAGAGCAGATTGGTGCAAGAGCTACAATGGGGAGGGAAAATGTATGGCTCATTCACGGAAAATGAAGTCGAAACACTCGAGCTTTGGATTGACTCCCTAACAAACGACCAACTTTCGGTTTACTATTCTTTCATCGGGCCTATCACACGCTCCAAATATCAAAAGCTCAATGAACCTGGCGCCAACAAGAGGGCCAAGCTCGTCCGCGCTCTCAGCGGTGAGAATGTCCCAATGGCATGCCTGCTTCCCAAAGGACCATTGGTGAAGTGCACGAGTGACCTGACAGCAAACCTTAATCTATCTTCTCTATTGCCACTCTGGTTTACGCAGTGTTGTCTCTTCGAATCATTTGTGTATGCCCCGGGAAGAACTACCGACACTATTGGCTGCGCTATGATACGCTTCTTGCGGGCTCAGTCCGGCTTTGACACGGATCACCTGATTGTCACCGGAATCGATGCGTTATACACCGGGGAGAATAAAGGAATTATTGAGTTTGGTCTAGAAATCACTCGTCGAGCGTCTCTTCCCGTTCCTCAAGACCTTCACAGTCTCCTCTCCCGCTGGCCGTCCGAGTTTGCCACGACAATGCTCAAAGTAGCCTCCAGCCCTATCCGAAACTTTGGTCTCCTGCTCGGCATGTCCATGGCGTTTCTAGAATTGCAGGACATGGTATCGGAGCTTTCAAATCCTAGCTTGCTGTGTCCAAAAAGCAGGATGCGGCTTGGATCCTTGGCCCGGAAGCAGTATCAATGCTTGCAGGTCTGTTTGCAGGAAATACCCGCCGGAGATAAACGCCATGTGGACTTCCACAACGGATATGGTTCAGCGAAGGCGGAGATAAATAAATGCTTTAGGCCAACGAATTGAGGGTATACAAACGGTCAGTTTCTATCCGCATAGCTTTTCTTGTACACTATGCTCGCCATTATATAGTTGCTGGATGTAGGAAGTTTCATAGAGCCTAGGGCGGCTATGTCAAAAGCCACAATGGTCCTGCCAATCTCGGGGCTTATTGTGAGATCACAGTGATGCATAAATGCGGTGGGTCTCTTGCGGTGCGATTTCTCGCCCGCTGATTGATTAGCGTCCTGCGTGCGTGTCCGAGGAAGAGAGTCCTGGTTACGCCTCTCCAATCTGTCTTGCGAATCAAATGATTAGCTGCTGGCATACTTGCAATATTCTCATTAGAGATTTATGGGTGCCTCTAACAATTCGCAATCAGAAATGGCAACCTTTGTAAAGGCCGTTACAACTCTTTGTCATGGCCGGATCAAGTAGGTCTCATGGTAAATTTCACTATCGCGCTCAATACTTGAGGGGAAGACCCATAGATACCAACCTTATGATGTTGTAACTCGTATTTTTACCCTCATATCAATACAGAGCTCTAAAGCCGATTGTGGTCGGAGTAAGAAGCATACAGTGAGCGCCCTGAACTACATACAAGGACGCAAGGTTTGTTGCCCTCAACCCAAATCAACGTTCCTTTGTCATGGAAGTAGTATCCATCGAGAGCTTGCGCAAAGAGCCACCTGATCTTCCTGGAGCATAGAACAGTAACTTTCAACTTCGATACAAAGTCACCCATGGCCTACAGTATTTAACAAGATGCGCGCGTTTACATATGGCGCACTGCGTATATAGTCAAGAGTCAGTATGCCCCTTTGGGAATGATTATTCGGCAAGGGGTGAGTCTATGGATAGGTGCGGTATACAGAGTAGAATTGTTATGATTGATCTGCTCTTCTGGTTCAGATTGCCGTACACGCAACTCTCTGATCTATATTAAGGACTGATGGTGTCATATTGCGACAGCTTGAAGGTTCTGAGGGCAACTTGAATGTTCTACAGAAGTTGATATTAAGTGAGGTGCACATCACCTTTAAACAGAACAGATTGTAATTCGACGATTACCAATTAGCCACATCTCATGCCGTTAAGCTCAGGGGTGGAATGAGGAAATTTACTGCGTGAAACAAAAATCCATGGCGAAGGAAATTAAGCTATTGTACCATCTGTGTTTGCTGCTCTTGTCTATCACTGATGCATCTGCTTTTAAAATGTATCTAAAATCCGATTCGGTTGTTCATAATATTTGCCTACCACGCTTTCTGACATACCTCATTACTACAGCAAGGGATGTGCTCAACGATCTATCGACTATCCATAGTAGCCGACCTTCATCACCTCAAAAGAACCCGGCGATTGCACAGGCAACGTGCACTTACTTATCAGTTTAATTCTAAGATCAGTCTATGAGAATTACCCCTTGTGAGATGGTAGGGACCGATTTAACTGGCTCTGTTATCTAGCAAGTTGAATAGTACTAAGGTATGCTGGCATTTAATCGGGCGGCGGGCAGTGCAGGATATTGAAACACGCATCATTTGGATATCTTCTTCCGGCCTGAGAGATCAGTTTTCCCTTCACCGCCTCTTGCCCTCCTTGGTAAGACGGACATATATTCTTGGGTTTTCCTGGGCAAATCCACGTAACTCACGCCATCGCATATCTGATTCCTTGCTGCGAAGCGGTGTCAACATGCACCGCACCCTTCTGTTGCTGGGTATCTTGTCTCTCCAGGCCTTTTCTCAGCAAATTCCCCTTGAACGAGTTGAAGAAGACGCCCAGTGTCGATGTCGACCAAATGATCCCTGCTGGCCCTCCCCGGCTGATTGGGATGCTCTAAACGGCTCCATCCATGGCAACCTCGTTCGGGTACGGCCCGTTGGGTATGTTTGCCATGAACCCACCTACAACAAAATCGCTTGTGAACACGTATCCGCAATGTCCCCCAGCGGGGTTTGGCGCGCCAGCGAGCCAGGTAAGTCAGTGCCGACACGCTCGAATGACCGGTGACTAAGACAATGTGCAACCTAGGTGCCCTAGAGAACACCGCATGGGAGGTCTCTATCCCCAGCAATGAGACCTGCTATATTGGAGACAGCAGTGACCCGTCTGAGCCTTGCAGCCAGGGCCGGATCCCGCTTTATTCCGCGATGGTCCAGTCGACGGAAGACATCCAGGCTGCCGTTCAGTTTGCCAAAGACAAGAATCTGCGTCTTACAATCAAAAACACGGGCCACGATGCCAGCGGTCGGTCTAGCGCGGTAGACTCATTCCAGATATTGACACAGGGACTCAAAGATATTACGTTTACGGACAACTTTGTGCCGCAGACGGCCAGAGAAAAGGCCCAATCGGAGGGTCCGGCTGTGACCTTTGGCGCCGGCGTCCTGGGTATGGACCTCTATGCAGCTGCCGCGGAGCATGGGTATAATGTGGTGGCAGGCGAATGTAGCACCATTGGGGTTGCCGGTGGATTTATTCAGGGAGGAGGTGTCTCGACCGTATTAGCACCGCTGAGGGGACTGTCAGCTGACTTGGTTCTCGAATTTGAGATAGTTACAGCAGATGTAGGTTTTCCACCGTGTCGGGACGAGTTCCGTAATTTGACTGACTGAGATGACAGGGCAATGTGGTCGTGGCGAACCAACACCAAAATGCAGATCTCTTCTGGGCTCTTCGAGGCGGTGGTGGTGGCACATTTGGCGTGGTCACCAGTGTCACCATGCGAGTATTTGAAGATATCCCAGCTGTGGTTTCTACCCTATCGTTTGAAATGACGGAGCGAGATCAGACGTACTGGGCGGCAGCAAGGGAGGTTGTCTATAAGGCTCGAGATCTATCAACCGGCGGCAATTCAGCCCAGTATTCAATTGGCCGGATGCCCTCAGGCAACCCGTACGTGAAACTCACCATGTTCACTCTAAATGTGGCGGACAAGAGGGTTGTCAATGAATCCTTCTCACCGCTACTAGCCTCGTTAGCTGAGATCGGTGTTCCGTATGAATTCTCCTCCGATCCATACCCCAGACTTAGCTCCTATCTGAAAATTCCGCAAGAGGAGTACTCTAAGGGACTAGGCTACTACCAGGATAGCGTCCTCGTTCCGAATGAGTTGTATGCATCGGAAGATGGCCCGGGAGCGCTCCTCGACCAGCTTGCCAGAATTGACCTGAAACCAAACGACCTCTGGGTGGTTAATACGCTTGGGGGCCAGGTTAATGCTAATAGCCATGTCGACAATGCTCTCCATGAAGGCTGGCGCTCCGCTGCCGTTCTCCTGGTGGGGAATCGTCTATTTGGTCCGAGTCTTCACGAACAGCGGGCGGTCCAGAAGCGCATTTCAAACGTGGAAGGGCCCGTTTTGTACTCCCTGAAGCCCAGTCCTGTGGCAATGTACCTAAACGAGGCTGATCCTCACCTAGAGAACTGGCAGAAGTGGTTTTGGGGAGACAAGTATGCACGACTCAAGGATATCAAACGGAAATGGGATCCCGACAGCCTCTTTATTGTGTCGCTTGGCGTGGGTAGTGAGGAGTGGGTTGCAGATGGCATGTGTCGCCTGAACAGCCAGCGTCCAGGGGTCTTCGGAGGGTTCTCCCAGCATTTCCAATATTTGATGTCTTTCTTTGGAGATGATACCTCAGAATTGTGAACCAGAGTTATCCTGTGCGGCGTGGCCGGGCCCAGGGGATGATCCATCCGGTATTGCCCATGATCAGAAGGACCAGAAATTATAGACCTCACTTCAAATAGCCATAGAGCTGCCAGGTTGTGATGATGGAAAACCATAGTGAGACCCTCACGGATCTTACCCATAATAAAGACCGCTCCATCCAGATGGGAGGCGGGTGCATTTTCAATATGAGTAGTGACCTTAGCCGCGAATATCTCTGTTCCCCGTATACTCTTAATATTTCAAGATTTAACAGCACGCATTAGGTACATGGGACAGAGGAACAATGTCAACGTCTCATGAAAGTATGTTTAAATTTTGACGGATGTATACACAAGTGAGGCTTGCCCTTGATGAGAATGAGACGGCTTCCTAGACGCGACATTTTTGGGTGAAATCCCGTTCGGCCTGTTGAAGTGTTAGTTCCCACTACCAATCATCCCGAGTCACAGGTATATCTGGTAAGTTTTGACATGCGCGATTTGAAGCGACAATTACTTGTGTGTCTCTTCGAGATGCCAATGCTCAGCCTCTTTTACTCGACTTCTAAAATAATTATGAGCAAGCCCCGAAGCTTTCGCAACCTATTCAGCCTCAGCTCTATAGTAGCATCGCTGAAAATGTGCAACCCTAATGTCCACATATCTACCAATCGCTCAAAGCCCACCTCGCAATCTACACCATACATACACCATACATGCCCGCCAGGCAAGCATTGGATGAATGAGCGCTCTGATTACGGCTGCCTCAATAAACCGTACCCCTCCTAGCGGTCAACTCATAGATAAATCCCCACTCATAGCCTAAGACGCTTGAAATTGACGCTCACGGCACTTCGAAACCGGGGGCCTAGAGTTTCTTACACCGCTTCTGCTATTAGAGTGGCCCCTTGCTAAATGACGCCGTCGAAAGACATACCAACTCTTGGCTACATACGCAATGTATGATGTGGAACCACTTGGGACTCTCATTGACACGGCTTATGCACGGAGATGGACCTTCCCTGCCAATGTCGTACAGCTATTGAGAGGGGCCACCCACCACCTGGGCTCATAATTGCCACGTATTGAGCTCGGACCCTTTGTAACTCTTGTGGGAATTCAAACTAGGCACTCGACGAATAGGTCTTGTCCCTTTAGCGGGTTCAGTAAGGTATCAATCATCATTGAAGCACCGTATACCTCATTATTTATCTTGTGTTCCACAAAGCAAGGCTACTCACCTTGCTGGCATAGGAAGCTAGGCAGATGTGTACGCCATATTATACGCTCGCACAAAACGATGTATTTCCCATCCCCTCGACTCGATCCATGTTTCGTGCAAACCAATACAACCATTTAATTACCTATGAGCAAGATCTTTTTGTGCCCAATGATGTCAGATGAGTGCTTTTCCTCATATTGGGCAGATGTGGCCTCCATACACAGTACATAAATTGCGTCGACCCCTCTTCCAGCACCCTGCACTACTCTAGAGTCGTCCCCCCTCCTCACAACGATCCGCCATATCCATCTCCACCATGGCTTCTGATTTGAACCTCGCCGCAAAGGCGTTCAAAGGTCTACACAGGCCAAATCAACCCGTTGTTCTTGCAAACGTATACGACGGTATTTCCGCAAAAACAGTCGCAGCACTTCCCGCTTCGAAAGCCATTGCAACTGCAAGTTGGGCGATTGCTGAAGCCGCCGGTGTCCCTGATGAGGAACTCACCCTCGAAGAAAATATCAGAGCTACCCGGATAATCGCGACCGCAATTAAAGGAAGCGGAAAGCCGCTGAGCGTCGATTTACAAGATGGATACGGTGATCAGCTTGAAGACGCCATCAAACAGGTCATTGGCGCTGGCGCCATTGGTGCCAACATCGAAGACTATGATAACGCGAATAAGCGACTCTACAGCGCCCACGATGCGGTAAACCGAGTCAAACACGCCCTAGCCATCGCGGACGCCCTGGGCGTTCCTGATTTTGTGGTTAACGCCAGATGCGACGCCCTGGTGTATGGTGGGACGATTGACGAAGTCATCTCACGCGGTCAGGCATTTCTTGCTGCTGGTGCGACATCGGTCTTTGTTTTGGGTCCTCTAGATCAGGCGCATCCTGGAGAACTCACAAGGGAACAGATCACGAAGCTGATTCAGGCGTTTGAGGGCCGTGTGAATCTAGTACCTGGGGAAAATACTACCAAAGAACTCGCTGCTCTTGGGGTTGCTCGAATTAGCGTCGGGCCCGACCTTCAGATGGTCGCTATGAAAGCGCTTAAGAAGGAGGCTGAGAAGTTCCTCGACGTTTGATACAATTATCTCAGAATCTTAGTGTACTCTCGTTTTGTCCGGCGATCTCAATGGTTCTCCCGACATATTCCGTAGGGACTTTTGAATAAACATTGACACTATTGATGCGACCTCCACCTATGTGTCTAATTTGAATCTGGATTGGCCAGGATGTTAATTTCAGCGCTCACCGCTCGCTCATCGACCACTCGGGTGCGTACTGTCTGTAGGGGACATTTGGTTCTTGGTTCTGCCTGGCGTGTCCCACCTCAACTAGCCCCATCAAACCACAAAAACATTGGCCTGTCACATAAGGAAAGATGAATTTCTGTGTCGAATTCTGTCAGGACGGTAGCTGAGAAGTACAGAGACATGGCAATCACGAACGAGTGTATGGTATATATCAACCTATAAGCTGGGACACTTGAGTACGCCGTGAAGACCGGACTCGTGAGTACGTCCCATCGTTCTAAGCCAAACCTGGAACCTTCACCATTCCGTTACAGAACGGATCCCTCACAGGTGGATCTCCTCTTTCCTCCGCCTAACAAGGGCCTTCAGCCCCGGATGCGCAACATGAGTCTGTCCCCGTTGAAACCATGCGCCCTCCTCCGGAATCATAACCTCAACATCATACTTCATGAGCACATGACAAAGCAGTATTTTCTGCATATGCGACGCAAAGAACCTCCCCGGACATACTTGGGATCCATGCCCAAAGCCGAAATGGTCTGCAGATGTTGAGGTGAAGTTGTATGAGGCCAAGCTTGCAGTACGATCTGGATCCTGGCGGAGGTTAAGAAACCGGTAGCCGTCGAACTTGTCGCCGTCAGGCCAGGTCGACCCGTCGACAATGTGGGATGTCGAGGCCATGATCGGGGTACCTTTGGGGATGATGAGTCCGTCAGCTAGCACGACTTTCTCCGTGGCCATTCGCTGCAACAGAACTATTATCTAGTCAGTAAAGGAGGTCGGTCTTCTGAAGTGTAGGCAGACAAGAAAGAGAGACGTACGAACGGATTCGGGATGCAAACGTAGCGTCTCCTTTAGGACGCTATCCATGAGCACCAAGTTCTGCAGGGAATTCTTGTTGAAGCCCTCCTTCCCAACCACGTTGACGATTTCCGAACGGAGGTCACGGACCAGTTGTTCATTCCTCCAAACCGAGTGTAGGACATGGGTGAAGAGCTCGCCTCCTCCATCGAACGACACAAGACAGAGACCGATTACATACGATGCAAGCTCGTCTAAACGACCTTCCACCTTCTGATATAAGAAACTGAGTGGGCTCTTGGAGTCAAGTTCTAAGCCTTGCTTATCAAGCTTCTCCTTCAACGGGCCCAAGAGAGCATTGATACGTTCGAAAAGCGTTTTGAGTCTCCGACAATTGGGGGAGACTTGTGCGGCTAGGGGTTTCGCCCACGCTGGGAAGAATCGAAGTTCATATCCCGCGGTGGCGGACAGCTCGACGTATTCCGAGCTCGCCTCAACCCACTCCGGGTTTCGATAGTAGTCTGGGTCGTTGATAAATGTCCGGGACATGATCTGTGAGAAGAATTTCCAAACACTGTCCTTCAACATCACCTCGTGGAATTCTGGTGGGCTTGTCAGCGCCAATGTCAAACTTCATTCAACATGTCAGAGTATGGAGTGGTAATACCAGGGTTGTCAGTCCAGACTTGACGAAGTGCATAGTCGGATTCTTCATTCAGTGGCTGGGTAAAGGTCCCTTTGGTCCAGTTAGATCTAACAGTTCCCCTCGGTAACTCACGGCATCATGAGTGACAGAAAAACGGAAGGAACAACTCACCCAGATGGCGATTAAGCGAGTGCTTCGCCACGGCCTGTATAATCTTCTTGTCACTTGTCATGGTTCCCATTGGCTCAAAGCCGTGCACACCATTGTCCAGTTTCTATTCCCTTGTAAGCCGTTTTTCTCCTAATAAGGGTGGTTTTACTTACCAATGCGAGTGCGCTGGCGAAGTCCAGGCCCTTTTCATTGCGCATCATATCGATATAATTGCGACAAAGGATCAAGCGATACGTAGAATCGGTATACAGATAGAAAGCATCTCCATACTGTTCGAGGATAGATTCATGAATTAGTGGGCAGGGAATGAATCAAAGTTAGGCGACTACCAACCTTTTCTTGACAAGACCGGACCAGGCCCAGGCAATCATCCCGGAACCGTTTTTTGGCTTTGCCATTACCCAACTCATACCATCTTCTGCCAATGACTGGTAGCCCCGATGGATTTTCCAGTGTTGTGGACTTCCACCAGTAGCAGAATATAAAGATAGCGAGCCCATAATAGAGATAAGGTGAGGTAAATTCGAAGTCTCGATATTTTGAGATCACGTCTTCCAGGTTGAAAGGCATTTCGCAAAAATTTTTGGGACGGACAACCTAGCCCAAATGTTAGTCTGAAATGGGATCTTTGGGCAGGAAAGAAGGTTCATGCTGTTCGAAGGAGGATGGGAGGGAGGTACCTACAGCCTCTGGTCATTTAACAGCCTATTAATACCTATTATTGTATGAAGACCTGTTATTGCAGATATCAGCCGCAGCTGAGCCGTAGGCAAGGATGTAACACAGAATTCTTCAAATCAAAGGCTAGATTTCTGGTAATTATTGCGATTCTACACATCCCTAGACACGAATGTCGAACCAATCCTTACGCATATTCTGTACTAACACAAATCCCTAACAAGGAAACATATAATGATGTATGGTTTATCTCGCAATAACCTTGCGTCTGAAATGCCGTGGGATTTCAAAAAATTACACGCTATCATCCCTATCTTGGGCGGATATTGGAAGAATAGATCTACAAAGATTAAGAACGCGACAGAAAAGAATAGCAGGGCATACTACAGGTCACACAAAGTGTGAGCACCCGGATTAGGCGTTATGCAGTCTGGTTCAATTTGTTATATATGAGAAAGTTACACAGTGATTTGAATATTTTATCCATACACCATAGCAACTAAAGTGTTTTACCATTCTGGATGGGGTGACAAAGCTGGTGATGTATAGAAGTCCTTGCCTATCCGGCCATACTTAAGGAATAAAGGCGGTCGTATTACTTCACCATCTGGTGCGTGAGCTAGTTACATGGATGGACAAAGGGGTATAATAGTGTTAAGCTTCAATAATCATAGCCTGATAGCTAAATAGAAACCAACAAAGGTTGTGAAACTACTGATAAAGGGGTGGGTTTTTTATGGAAATGAAGTGTCAATTAGAATCACCGAGCAAAGCAAGCACTGGATGAATTAGTATTATCTCTGTACTGATTAACCCCTGTCCCTTGACTGCAGGGTAGCTATGAGAGTATCCTCAATTATTACATGTTTCACACCACTTTAGACGCTAGGGGCTAGATATCATATAATATAATATCTAGGATGACATGCCATGTAACTGTGGTGTTTATGAGGAGTAATTAACGTTCAGTATAGATCATCCGTAGAAATATTTGTTTGTATCGCCTTGCTTCTTAAGTTTTACGATCCGCAGACTGTATTCAAAGATACAAAACAAGAAATACATATACTAGTGTTGACGTATGTGGCTTCAGTGGGATTAGAGATCATGCTTTGGTATGTACGTTAACACACTTCTATGCAACCCAGTCCCTGCGCACCCGTTTTCCATCGAAAACAGAGAAGAAGCAAAAAATAAAATAAAACAAAATAAACAGAAAAAGGCGAGCTCTCGCCTGGATTTCATCTATCTGACTTGTTTCGTGAGGATTTCCAATTATCCTTTGATACCGCTCTGGGGCTGCTGGAATTTACTATCATCCTCTGTTATGGTCTGAAGTTGGTTTCTGGTATTGTTCTCATTGGGTATACATTCACAACAGGTTTCGCCGCTTTATCCATATAAATCTTACCTATACATCTATACTGGTTATAGTACAGTTGGTAGCACACAACCGAAAAATCTGACAAGACCCCAGTCTTATCCTGAACAGGACCTTTCCTGTTCTCACTGCTGTTCTTACTTCGAAGACCAATGTAATTAGTTGTATGATCACTAAACCCAAAGTTAAAAGACACAAGTCTCGTGAGGGACCTGTACCAGTGCTTGTCACCATTAATATAGCGCTTAGTTAATTAATGACTCGTGATTTTGGAAGCCGCCGACAATATCGGTAGAATTCCCTCGTTGCCTATTACACAACGTTCGGCAAAGAAGCACGGTGGGAATATAGAAACTTAGCCATGTCTGGATCCCTTGCACTGAAACTATAGTGTTTCAACAATCATATTATATCTAAGACCCTCGAATAAGGCCAGGTGGTTAATAAGAAATAGCATCATTCGTGTCCCACGTAAAATCTATATAACAGGATCATCCAGCCTTTGGATAGGACCTTTGCATTGATTGATCTACTTTTTACGTGTTATAGGGTGTATTAGTTATTTATTTACACGTTTACACAAATGAAACCGGGACTTAGTTGGTAGGAAAATTATTCTAGTGGACATATGCTTAGGTACAGATACTTATAAAGAAGCGGCCGGGTTACTATATATAGTAATATAGGGACCCTTCGTTTGCGAATAAGCGAGCGAAATCCATGAATAGACTTGAGTGGAGCTCCCGAAGTCATGGCCCGGGCTAGGTTGATTAAGCGTCAGCAACCCCGTACATAGTCAAGAGATAACTTCAAGGGTGAAGGAGCGAGATGCTCGGGTTGAACTTACTATGCCTTTTTCTGGATTATCTGGTGTGTCATTGCATGTTCGGTCCAGCCAAGTTCGCCAAACACACAGGTGATAACCTCAGTAATCAGACTATCGTAGTCGTCCAAAACCTGGAAGTATGCCTTGGGGATAGGATCTGAGTCTGTCGGTGATACCTCCCAGTTCCATATGAACGGTATATATTTCCTCGGCTTCATGTCAGGCAAAGACTTCGCGTACATTGTTTTCCAGACTTTCTCCATGAGTTGAAAACCCCGGTCGATGGCCTCGCCCTTCAGGCTACCTCCTAGAGTCCAGAACCCATAGGCTTCCCCCAGGGTTTTCACGTTTGCACCCACATATATCTTGTATCTAGAGTTCTTCAAGTCTGCGCAGTCGAAAGAGAAACAGCTTCTGGAGTCCACAAGGAGATGCTTAGTGGCCGCTAGGTACTCATCCACTTTTGAAAGCCCGTGAGTAATGGGATGGTCTCTCGAAATCGTCTTGATGCTGTCTATCATCATGCGCACATAGTGGACACCGCTCGTGAGAGATCGTAGGAGCGGGACACAGTACGCCTTCACTTTAAGTGAGTGCTCGTGGAGATCAAGCGCGACATGTCCCTGAGCTTTGATTCCATGTTCCTCAATACCATCCCAGCACAGACGAGCCTTGTGGTTGGATAAAACCAAGGCGTCCCTGAAATGGTCAAATAATTGAAAGTCTATGTCGGTCTGAATCCGGCTCAAGTCTTCAAGAAGCCGCCTCGCGGCGAATTCGTTCATGGGATCTTGGTTCGTCCCTGCCATAGGTCCTATTGGCTCGATCCCTATGCGGACACATGGTGCTGAGCCCCCTTGATAATTGATGCTGAGGTCGCATGGATCTCCGTTATTCATGAAGTAAGGCCATGGTGAATTCGATTTGGTGTGATTTGGGAATGGCCCAAGCACTGGAAGAATAATGGAGTGGAGCATTAACAAATAACGATACTGAGCACCAACATTGTACCCTGAACAATTCAAGTAAATCTCAATAAGGGGCCCAACTTTGTCCCACCAGAGCTTCTGATCCGGGCTATGAAAGGGCAAAAGAAGGCTCAGCACCTGCCATGGCCGTGCATCTCCATCGGACATGGGTAGTGCCACTTTCTCTGTTGGTGCTTGAATAGAGGGTTCTTGCTCAGGTCTCATCTTGGGGAAACGCCGTGTATCAATGAATAATGGAATGGCTCGAATGGTTTCTGAGAAGAAGTGGCAGTGAGGTGTAGTACGTGGGGGCAACATAAATATATTGCATACTCTGGCGAGGTGAGGGTGACATGCTAGACGTGTACAGAATTCAACAGGGAATCTGCAATTCTCCTTGTAGGAGGAGATACATGTGCGGTGTAGTAAGGAGGTCAGATTAATGCATTCTTCTCTCGCAAGGGGCATGCACCTACACCTTCCCAGTTGATTTCATATGCTGCCGAGCCCTTGCTTCTAACATGGAGGTACAACTAATAAATAACTCTCTCTAGTAAGCAAATAGTTTCAAAGACTGACCCTGCCCGACTTTGCTAATTGGCTGAGGTGTTAATTGAAATTAATTATTCTTATTTCGAGACTTTGAGTAATAAGCAGAAGCTCCACTCTCCCAGTATGATATTCAACGTGAATTCCATCCTTATCTAGGTAGGTATTATTCACCCGGACAGTGATGGTATGCAAACGCATAACAAAAGGATATAGGAGTGATGTGTCTCAAGCATTTGTATTACTACCTCCTCAGGATTGAAGGTATCTCCTGACTTGTTCGTAAGATCTGTATGTCGACTTTCTCCAGGTATTCTAAGCTTTTGCTCTTAGATATCTCTTAGAGTCCACTCAGGTGGTGGGAGTCATATCCGAATTGGGATGGAGTTTCGGGAATGGCTGCTCAATTTTTCTCTCGCCCTTGCTATGGCATACCATTTTGTTCTTGATTACTGTGTCTAAGCGACTGCAAGGGAGAAATGAATATCTTACTTGCTCCACAAAACATTCATTTCGCACGTTAAAGGGGCAGGAAATGGGCTGGTTGGGGAGGGGTTAAGAAGGAAGAACACCATAGCCCTCCCCGTCCGCGGTGACGGTGTCATTGTTTTTTTTCTCTCACTACGTGGGAACTTTTCATTTCAAACTGAGCTCAACATCTAGTTGCTGTATACTTCAGTTATGGCAAATAAAGCCGCACTTGAATTAAGGTGTGGTGAAATTCAGGAGCAAGTTCGCCAAACATCGAGCCTGGAAGTTATCTGGGGAGAGAATGACCCGAAAAATCCAATGAATTGGCCAGTATGGTACAAGATCTTTGGGATAGCGGCCAACTCAATTATGCCTACTATAGTGTAAGTGCGTCACCTATTAGGCACAATACTTTTGTTCATTAGCTCATATTATGGACCATTCTGCTTAGTGGTATCTATGCATCTGCCTATACTGCGGGTATCAGTGGCATCCAGGCTTCATTCCCAGGCACATCCAAAACTATGGTACTGCTAGGAGGGACCACTTATCTATTAGGCCTTGCTCTAGGGTCTTTACTGTTAACCTCGTTGAGTGAGATTTATGGTCGGCGCCCTGTCCATATTCTATCGACTGGGCTACATAGCCTCTTGGTAATCCCCGCGGCATTGGCGCCCAGCCCATCTGCTATTCTAGCCAGCAGGTTCTTCGGAGGATTTGTTGTGAGTGCAAGTTTGAGTACATCACCAGGATCCGTTAGTGATCTTGCCAGTGATAAGCACCGGGCGCTGGCATTTAGCTTTTGGAGCCTGGGTGCGATGAATGGTGCTGTTATTGGTATTATTGAGATATTCTCTATTCGTTTTACAAAGACCAAACTAATGATGACTAGGGCCTATCATGGGGGGCTTTGTATTTGAACATATGGGTTGGCGATGGATCAACTGGATTGTAGGAATCTGCAGCGGGGCTTCGTTCTTTGCATACTGCCTTCTGAAAGAGACATATGCCCCAGTTATCCTGGAGAGACAAAGGGTAATACAACACCGGACAAAGGGCGCAAGTTGGTGGATGCGCCATGTCGACGATGGCCAACCGTATGACTGGGATAAGGCGAAAGCAAGCATTATACGGCCCCTAAAAATGGCCTTCTTCGAACCCATATGGTAGAAAGCATTCACTTCTTTCTATAGACATCATTGAACTGACTCCGATATAATTATAGTCTTATGCTAAATGTTTACGCTGCTATATTCTATGCTATACTCTTTCTTTGCTTTATCGGTTATCCAGTTGTATTCGAACAGCAACGTGGATGGTCACCTGGAATAGCAGGACTAGCATACTGCGGTATTAGTGTGGGAGTAACTTGCGCCGTTATTTTGGAACCAGTGATTCGTGCTTTTCTCACAAGGTACTATCACGATCCATCTGGTAGCACTCTCGATGCATACATGGTCCCAGCCTGTATGGGGGGGATCTTGGTTCCGATCGGCCAATTTTGGTTTTCATGGACTGCGCCCCAAGAAAACATCCACTGGATTGTTCCCATTCTTGCCGGAGTTCCATTTGGATTCGGCAACACGCTCGTGTTTATCTATATCCTCAGTTACATGTCGGGCAGCTATGGTATATATACTGCGTCTGCTGTAGCTGGGGCCACGGCGTTCAGATACAGCTTCGCTGCGACTCTCCCACTTGCAGGGCCAAAAATGTATGACACGCTTGGTGTAAATTGGGCTGGTACGACTCTGGGATGCTTGGAGCTCATTCTCATTCCAATTCCTTTCATATTTTATAAATATGGAGCGAATATTAGGGGGCGTAGCGCCCTCATATCAAGTCTTAGCTAAGTGCGACGGAAGATTAGCCGCAGAAAATTCACATAGCTGGGTCGTTTTTCTCCTACTAAGCTGAGATCTGCTCTCAAGAGTTCTGTAATCGGGGAAATGTATTCGAAAAAGTTGGGTGTAGAACCCACTGTCTAGGTATTAGGGCACTTGTAGAAATACAGATCCTAGAAGGGCCATTCAAACGCAATTCATTTAGTAGCCTTCTCCTTCGATGCTGCCCTGTCCAGGCTTAATATTAGTTCAAGTCAGTAAAAATTATGCAACTCTAGTTTAGGTTCGGTTTTTCGGTGCGGATAATGACACTCTACTATAGTGGTAACCCGATTTAGTGGCCGTGTGTTGCTATAAGTGTTGTTTTAGTAGACGCCTAAATGTGACCTAGCATGTATCTCATAGACCATAGGTGCACCTAGAGGCGATCTCATTTCCTTCTTGGCCCATTGACGCGGTAGCAAATGAAGAACAGCTATTCCCTTCCCCTAGGGCTTATATTTGAATCCATATAATTACGCACGCGAAGGGATCTAGCTCGCCAAGACTAAATGGAGACTTCGAGGAGATTTGATTTCATCTTATGGTTTGAAGGATTATTTAGTTTAGAATCTTACCTACACGACATCCTCGCTCTGGTAAGCAACTATCCTTCCAAGTCCTTGTAGGTTGGCGGGCTGGGTCTTTTCTTATTATTCTTTAGAGCAGAGCTTATCCCTAGCCATTCCACATACATTTATGGGCCTTTATGGGCATGGTTTTGAAGACCTGTGCCCCAATGATCCTTGAAAATACAATATACGTAAGCACAAATGCCTAGTTGTAGATGATGCATGAAACTTCACTTGTAGACCAGGATAAGCGAACCAGTGCCGAGAAACTCCTCCTGTGCCCACACTAGAGTGGGACTTTTCCATGGCTTATCATTGACTCCGCATGGGCTCCAAGCTCAAGTGGCCTCAGGCTTAACCGAGCAACCGCACTAGGCAGGTGTGCGCTTCACCCAACCACGCGTAGTAGTTACTGTTCCCTAGGTAAATAGGACGCGATAAAGTATTGAAAACCAAGCCCATCGCTTTATGAATCAACAAGCCGTGTTTATCACGTGTTCGGGCTCGAAGCAACCGATGATCAACTAAATTAGGAAATCCAAAGGCGCCTGCATGTGGTGTATAGAGATTCAAGGATTTCCGTGGCATAGTGTGGCTGGGGTCACCATCCCCAAATGTTAAATGAGATTTTTTGAAGTGAAATAATTTACAATCATAATATATAGGTGTCAATATGAAGGAACACAAGGAAAGGCAAGCCCTTGCAATATAGTGGTACTGTCATGCTAGAGGCGGACCTTCACTTCAGTGTCCACATTGTTCTCCGTTTCTGACCCTTCTTGTCGATTTCACTGTCACCTTGGGTAGTAGCCTGTCTATTGATTATGCCGACTGACATGCCATACTTCTTGTAGGGGGGCAGCCGGTCCTGTATTTATGGTCTTAGTGAGCAAACAACGTGGTGGAAGACCAAGAGAGATCTCCCTTCCCGGTGGCATACCATACACGCAATCAACCAAGCCAAGATTCAAAGAGAATTATATCTACAACAAGGCGTGCAGGATATATCTACCCAGAATATGCCTATTTGAGTGATCTGCCGCCCTAAAAAGCCCTCATTAACATAGTATTAAACTCTGTGACTTGGCTGATATAGCTAGCTAATGAACCCAAACACAATAAAGAAAAATAAAAAGAAACAACATGTTAGAACTATCTATGTTTGGATAGGTGACCATTGAAATGGTCAAGCACAGCTGGGTAGCTAAACAATCCTCCGATATTGCAGCAAGTTATCATCACCGCCTGGGGGCTGGTGCAAACTGAGAGGGAACAGAGGCCGATTGTTGTGGCCTCTGTACTTGTAATGGACTATCATTTGGCTTGATAGCAACTTTGTTTCCACAATAGGTGCACACATGAGCGAAGGTGTTACCAAACCCGACTAGACACGGAATGCATATACAGCATATCCCACACGTTAGACAGCAGAGAATAGCAGCCAACCTATAAACAATTAGACTTTATGCTACTCGGGTGTTAGGATGGACTTGCATGGTCGTATCTGTTTCCTCCTCCACAATACGGGTCATTGCTCTTTTCTCGCAGAACAAACAGTCTATCTGCTGTGGTGTCTTCGTTGTAAGTTGGTTCAGTGGAGTGACTTTTTCATTGGCTGGCACATATTCGAATTTAGATGTGGTTATCGGGTATGTTGTTGCTGTTGAAGAGCTATTATCTTTGGGTATCAGTATTATATATCTCGATACAACATCAGTCCTCAAATGACTCACTATTCTTGACTTGCCATAGTATGTCTCAATTCAGTGGATGTCTTAACTGGCAGTCTTTCAATAGGTGGGACAGAAATTGCTGGTCGCTGTATATGCAGGTTTTCATCCGGAACTGGTTGCCGAAGTGCTGCTCCGTCATGATTGTTTCCTTTGTAAACGACATTATTGTCAACAATGTCATTCTCAGATGCCTGTGGTTCATGAGCGGGTTCTATGATATCTGGGCGCGCTTCTACTCCTTGGTGCGTTGCCCCATTGTGCTGCTCTTCGAACTTTGTTGCTGACATGTTGTATGCTGCTAATAGATAAGCGTAAGATCTAGGCACCGATGATCCATTTATAAATTTGAAGCGCTTGTCAAACAAGTATATTACTGGTAGTATTGCCCTAGTAATCAAAATACGAGCACTGCCCCGCGAAACTTAAATTGCTGGTAAAGTTACATGCTCATCGGCTCTGTAGCCTTGTTGAGGGGGGTTGCTGTTTCAGCCTTGTGAGGCGCCTTCCTGTAGCCTCGCGAGGGGCTGGCTCACAGCCTTGTATGTGACCCTGGGGGAGAGGACCTGGTATCCCATGAAAAGAATCTAATCATCCTCACTTGACAACAGCGTACGCTCCAATTGAAATGTGACTTGGATATTGAATAGGACCTTAATCTTTATATTGACTGAGGAGACAGAATCTGACCTACCGTCATAATGCGACTTCTCAATGTCTCCTCTTTGAGCCTAGAAGATTTCCCCCCCAACGGAATCCCTCCTTACGCCATTCTTTCTCACACCTGGGGAATTGACGAGGTAACTGCGGCCGACATCCACCATCCCATCGGAGAATCGAAGCCATCATGGGGGAAAATATTTAGCACATGTGAGCAAGCAAAAGCAGACCATCTCCAATATGTCTGGATTGATACGTGTTGTATCGATAAGTCCAGCAGCGCAGAGCTATCAGAAACCCTAAACACGATCTATGCATGGTATGAGAAAGCGGCAATTTGCTACGCATATCTAGTAGATGTGCCAAAGGCCGATAATCCTCGGTTACGTGGGTCAGCATTTCAGCGCAGTCGATGGTTCAGTCGAGGTTGGACATTGCAGGAGTTAATTGCGCCCCGAGAGGTGGTTTTCTTCTCAAACGACTGGACGGAAATAGGGCGGAAATCCGCACTATGTGATATATTGGAGCAAATTACTCGCATCCAGGAAGATATCCTCATTCATAGAAGGCCACTTTCATCGATGAGTTTGGCAAGGCGCATGGCATGGGCTGCGTATCGAGAGACCACTCGCCCTGAAGACATCGCATACTGCCTGATGGGTATCTTTTCTGTCAACATGCCCATGCTGTATGGGGAAGGGGAGAAGGCATTCTTGCGTTTGCAGGAGGAAATTATCAAATCTTCCGACGACCAGTCCCTTTTTGCATGGATCGACACTGATGCTTCACCAACCTCCCTGCACGGGCTCTTTGCTACCTCCCCTTCCCAATTTGCTTTCTGCCACGATATTCTCCCCTACCAGGACTGGGAACCTCGGACGCCTTACATCATGACCAACCGTGGGCTTCAGATTGAGCTCCCAATCATGTGGCGAGAGGAAGATACCTATGTCGCTGCTCTCGATTGCCCCTGTCCACCAGATTACAGCGACACGACGTTCTTGGCGATATATCTGAAGAAGTTGTCAAAAGTCAGTGATCAATATGCGCGCGTCAAAGTAGGAACACTGGCGGAAGTGTCGGAGCGTGGCAAACCAAAAACTATCTACGTTCGTCCATCGGGGGTAGTTCCGCATAGTGCAGTAGAGGGCGTTTTCCCCAAGCACTATGTCCAATTACGAGGATTCCGGGCACCACCCGATTATGCCTTTATCAAGACTATTTCTGCTAATGACAAGGGAGAAAGCCCCCCGGCTCATATCTTATCATCGCGTAATGATATCCCGGATGGTATTCGAAAGGTTTTCAAAGTGGAAAAACAGGCTTTGGCTCTATCCTGCTTCGTTGTCATGGAAGGACCACGCGGAAAAGGTCTTCTCGTCTTGCTAGGGTCCAACGGAGTTTTTGATATAGGCTTCGATGCTATCGAGGCTGATAGTCCGCGCGAAATAACTCACCATGATCTTCACACCGTTCGGAAGCACTATAAACCTAAGGATCCGGGGACATGGGTGACCCTGCAAAATCATCGTGTCATAGTCAATGTTCAGCCTCAAGTCCAATATGGGGCCAAGTACTACATGCTTGAACTGGAAATAAAGCCTATCAAAGAAAGTAATGGCTTCCAAGGTATTTTAGAGGAGCTGGAGACCAAACTACAAGCAGACCCGACTGTGATCATTCCTCAAGCAGCGATAAAAGTGAGTAAGAATGATGGAGAGAAAATCATTCCTCGAGGCCAGCTAGAACGCTCGAAGGAAAGAACAACCACCAGCCTGTCACAGAAACCTCTACCAAACGCTCCGGAGGAAAAGGCATCTAAAACACGGTCCTGGCGGTGGCGGGGATGAATAATAATTGGTATCGTGTCTAAGATCCTGTTCTACTCTAAGTTAGGTAGGCCATTATAGCCCAACGTTTAAGGTATATATCATACCACGCTCTGGTGTGAGGTATATGTTACTAGTCGTGAAGGCCAGCTATGTCGAGACCTTTGATTTTGTAATCTAGTAGAGCTCCTACCTTTGGTGAAGATACTACGTATGATGAAAACTCAAATCTCTGAGCTAATACGAAAACATACTGTAGTGATTCTTTTCCAAGCACGGCTCCTCTTCGTGCATGTAATTTGATATAGAAGCCTGACTGAACCAAGGAATATTAACATAGTACTAGTAATTATGAAATAGTGGATTCTTGGTACTTTGAGGAAGTCATAAGACAGACAGGAGAGATGATACATAAGTGATGAGAAAAAAGGGCAACTAGAATCCATGAATTCACTCTGGACAAGAGGTGGTGCATGAGATCAAGAGTCATCTGGGAGACCAAGCTCGGCGATAGGGAGAACAACCTAGTCTTGGGAGTCCTTAGCCATGGTTCTCAGTCTTACTGAGTTGGAAAGCTCAGCAAAATCGCTGACAAGTCTTGCGTGAATATAGAAGAATGGCTGGTGTGGAGGGCCATAAATCCTGCTAGTAGCACTATAAAGAAGCCCGCACACTTGATCACTGATATTGATAACAAGAGACCCTGAGTCGTCCCTCGCCCCAAAGGATGTCTGTTCGTGAGCGGTATCCGATAATTTATTGTTGATAATGACGAATTCTTCTGTCACATTTAATGACAGATCCACCTGGTGCCCATCATCATCGTATCAGATGCAGTTTTACCTTCCCAATTGCAGCTTGCAAGGGCGCCATTGCATATTCCAACTGTCACGCCGGTCGGACGACCCAGTTTCAAGTAATAGCGATCCTTCTCGAGATTACCAAATTCAGTCAGTGGTATCTCTTCTGGGACTGGAATGCCAGGATCTAAGCCGTAGTGCCAAGGCATAATGCTTGGGGAAACAGCAAATAACAAATAAGAGTTGAAAGGATCGTCTGCTGCTGCATCTATTAGCTGGAAAAATGCCCAGTCCATCACTCTTGTGCCCAGAATACTCATCCCAGACATTTCTGTAACTTGGCCAATCAAACAAGGCATCTGTTTCAAATTTTGACGTTTCATACGCAAGCCAGAAATTATATAGACACGCAAGCTGTTTTTATATATAGCTGAATTGATCGCCTATAGGATCACACGGAGTAGCTTGATGGGGACATTCCCGGCGGAATATTGAGGCTTGGTAACCAGTAATGGTGGGAACTCGACACTCGCAGGAGATCTGTGAAGGTCCAAGATGTCTCGTATTTCATTTCTCAGAGGTCCGATTGGGCATCGTGCGTTGCCAGCGAATATGGCCATTGGTTGACCAAGCTCGTGGTTCTGTGTGGACCACATGCAATGGAGTGTTTTTCTAGGCTCATGTAGTCCTCGTGATGATTCTGTTGGTCCGGATTTCCCACCTGCGCCCCTTCACGTTTATCTCCGCCCTTCATGGAGGCATCCCGCATCATGATGCAACCGTCCAATAAATCAGTAGTTCAACAGCTTAATCTCTCCATAGGGGTGTTTTCCATGTTTCTCCCAGATTCTTTGCGACTGACACTGTGGGGCAATAAGATAGATCAAGAAATAAATCCATCCCAGCTTTTAACCAATTGTACGCGGGTGTTCACAATCAATCTGTAATCATACTCCACAACGCAATCCCATTTGATGGCGTCGGATTTGTGGAAGAACAGTTCGCCTAGCAAACTGAGGGCAACGATCGAGCCACAGATAACAATAATAAGCCCACCTATGTCTTCTATTTCGAATGCCATAGGTCAGCTCATTACGTATGGTATGTCAGAGGCAGTTCTAGCATGAGTAAACAGTCACCGTCCCTAGACACCGTAGTGAAGGACTCGGAGGACTTGTTGTCGTCGTACAGCGGGGAGGTCTATCTGCCTTGTTATCGAGCTGCACTGTCATAGAAAAATATGCTAGAACATATGGGATGTCAAACTGCGTGAGGTTTGCGCTTAGTAGTGGACTTGTGAGAGCTCTGAGAAACAGTAAGTTTGCTTGTTTTCCCTTCATTGCCAACTTTAAGGAGAGCCTCTGCCACTGGATCCCACGCCGCGATGCAGCTCCCAGAGATGTCAGTTATTTCCAGCACGGACACACTACCAGCACTCTAGATGGCAATAGTAACCATCTATAACAGATAGATAATGGGCTCTTGCTGTCTTTGTTGATTCCATCCATTAACCAACTCTGTCTGTCGGGCAGCCGCGCGCCGCGCGCCGCGCGGCGTTGGTCATGCCCTGCCCTTTTCAGCATTGCTTCCACGCGAATTGGTGAATAATACAGCGCGGCCTTCCTCCGGTGATATATGGACAATACAGTCATTGGAGATCTGATTAAACTATATCTAATACTCTGTGTAAGAAAGTTTCTATAGGTAACTAGTCAATGTTCCAATTCGGCAAACCCCCGTATCCGCCACCCAGTAACCCAGGGCGCCCACGTATTTGTGGGCCACTCAATTTCCCAAATCAGCCTTTGGATGTCAGACCATATTATTCTCATCAAACCTCTTTCCCGCTTTCTACACTTTTTAGCAAATGACTTTGATCTTTGCCGCTCTCAGACTTCGTTGGATAGGGATTCATATTCGCCATCGGCCGTATATAACACAAGGAATCATTGTATAAGCTCTTTCATAATTCAAATCGCATGTACCTATCATTACTTCTCAGTACAGAAAGTCGTATCATCAAGGATCTTTGCTATTGAATATAATCATAGACTGACCCGCTAAATATACACGTCCTAATAGAATATCGGCCTACACCACTGAGTGAAAGCTATAGTGGAAGGCTTTGTCATTAGACTTAGGCGACTATGAGATCCTGGGTAAGAACTGTTTGATTTTCTAGATAAGGATCCATTATTCTTGGATACACTTCTTAGCTATACATCCGGATGATGCTTTAAGCCTAGTGGATTGCCTCTAAGTAATGCAAATTTGAACAATGATAAGGCGAGACTATAATAAGCGTAAATGTACGGGTCACCATTTATGCTAGTTTCATCATTACTCCGTGTAAATTTGCTCATCAGCATGAGACTACTATGGAAGATAATTTCGTATGTAACATCATCCAAAAGCGGTTGTAGAGCTTTCATACGATAGTATTCGGGTCTGGGTACAACCGTCATAGATTATATATAATCGCTCCAACCAGACATGAAATGAAACACCACTAATGTTGTTTTCTCAACAATCAATATAAGTGCTTAAATTGTTATCAAGTGTAAAGTGTACTACTACATATTATATTGAAGAATCTTGTATGTATCAGGTCCTGCTCTGGAAACACACGACCTGTTTGTTAATTTTCATTCTAGTCCAAGGGCTGGTCCACAAGCCCTACCTACTCCGTACCTACACATATGATTATACTGGTTGTCCTAGAAGCTTTTCGATCCTTTGTAGGTGGATCGCTCCACAGGGTGTTTTCCATAGGTTCACAGGACCTAACTACCTAGAAAGTTGCAGGGTTGGTAGCCACACCGACCATCTGCATCATCAGGAAGTGGGCTTGCATCCCTCCGAGAAGGTATATAGGAAACTTGGCTGGGTATGCGCGTCACATGGCAATGGGCCTCCTCCCCTAGTCGACGAACATTACCTTCATTGTAGTGGTAGGAGTGTCCCCCGCAGCATCAGAGCACACAGTATGAGCGGCTGTGCTACATTTGGGTGAGCAACCCGGGACAATGAAGGGATGAATATACTGAAGAGACCTAGACCCTCTGCCGGTACTTAGGAAGCCATTTCAACGGTCACAGACAGGGAGAGTTCCAAAGACCTTGAGATACCCAGTCGCTAGATTGAAGAGACAAAACCGCATCAGGAAAGCCAGGATAAACGCACAAGCAACTAGCACTTCAAAAGCGAACGCCAAGGTTTCAACCATATACTCATTTGGGTATTGCGGATCTGGGCATCTCGCCAAGTGAACTGGCGCACCACACTGCGATCCCCGACAGACGCCCCCCCCCCCCCAGTTACATCTCCGAGTGATGCCCGAGTCGTCTCTGTGTACAGTCCCGGAGTCAATCTCGGAGGGTTGGTTCTGGAGCCGAACTTCGCTGAAAGTGTTATTTGCCGAATTTCGGGGGCTTCTCCGTGCCCCTCTTCTCAATTCTTGGACTTCTGGGCTCTCACTCGGGCCGGGTAAAGGACATCGGGCAGACTCAGGCCACTGCAGCTGGGGATCGGCACCCGGTGATATACAGGCCCTCCATCTCCGTGCATAACCGGCTTCATGACTCCGCTGCTCCAACCACGTGTGGCCTGCACGCCCGACACCCCTCGATTTGCAGATACGATCTGAGAAGAGGGCAGAACACCCCTATGCACTCTGGTCGGATGACGCACCGCCAGCCATCTGCTTCCCGTTGAGAAACTGCGAAGGCATCGGACACGGGCACGACGCTGGAAAGAAGCGCCGTCCATCTCGGGCTAGTGGCTGCATCCCGTGGACGTTCTCCGTAGTGTCGAGTAGCGTAGCGGGGTCTGAAACGCGGGCGAAAAACTCTGCCCCGGCTTCACCCTTCCAGCGAGGGCGGTCGCATTTCCATGCCGTAAACCCCGTTCCTGACTGTCGATTCGTCCCCTCCCTCTCGGAGGATTCTGGGGGGATTACGGGCTAAACCCGCATCAGGCATTCTGGCGACGGGGTGAAAATTCGGACCGCCCCCCCCCCCTCCCTGGTGACTCGAATGACGTACGCCCAGTGCGCCATTTCCAAGCTTTTGCGGGACGGTGTATACCTTCTTGGCTGCGATCGCTCGAGGGGCGCTGTCCATGCGCCGCAGCACCGACTGAGTCTTGGGCAAAACGGCGAGCCACTTCGCTTCGCGCATGGCGCGCTTCAAGCCGGAACCTTCCAGACGGCCCCCGTGCGCTGGGAAGGACAGGGGGGGGATGCAACGCCGCCGGTACCACTCTTATTGGAGAAGGGTTTTCCCTGATCGTACATACTAGTACGGAGTACCTTCTCTTGCCTTGTCGTAGTTATTGGCCTTAATTTCCCGAGGCCAGTGGCTGTCAGTCAGAGACCATGGAAGGGTGGTGGTATTTTCCGGTTCCGGCCAGTACAGGCGCCTCAGGCCAAGACTCGCCTAGATGTGACCCACTTGGGCCTTCACTCGCAGTGGGCCCGCTAAGCTCAGAGCAGCTCGTCCTGGACGAATCGTCTAGTGCCAGGCTTATTATTCAGCCCCCATGTGGGCGAATTGGGGGGAGAGGAGACCGCCAAGAAGGACACGCTAGGCTTGTGCATGGCTTATTATTCGGCCAAGAGGGCTTACTCAGTCTGCCAATAGTGCAGGTGTCCCGAGGTGTGATGGCCAGTGTGATACATCCTGGAGATGACCACCGTCGTTCGCTCTCCCCGAATCCGGTATCTATCGACGCTCAGGTTATATATAGGCTGGGGGAGCTTATAGCCTTATGTACGAGATCCGTTTGTTGTTGGGCGTCCTTCCCAACTCGTCCCGATGGGCACCCCCCGTGCCCTGCAACCCCATGGGAACGCTCCGACCGCTAGTTCTGAGGATTGGGCTGGGATGAATTCGGAAGTGAAGTCTCATTCAGTACGAAAAACACGATTATGCCGGGGCAGAACAAACTTGAAGCGCCAGATGGCGGTAGTTCTATCGGCCGTGGCACTTGTACATGTAGCCAACTCGAGGATTCTGGGACTAACCATAGAAACGATGAAAACCATCCCAATTTACCTAGGCCAAGATGACCCCTGAATTTCCCCGTAAATGGATGGTCGGGTATGATTCCTATTACAGCAGGCGAGGCGACGATCCTCCACTGGGTGACGGAATCCACTTTTTCGGACGGTATCGGACTCGGCCGTAGACGAGAGGCGTAGAACCCGTGGACCGTGGTAAGGCACCTGGTAAGTAGCATGTAGAAGACGGCACGTTGGACACAGTCCAGTGGAGAGTAAACAGTGGACAGTGGTAGCCCAGGCCCCCTTCTCTCCTTCATTTTCTGGTTGATATCATTTGATTTAACTTTTTTTGCTTGATTTTTTTGCTCCCTTTTCCCCGGTCTGACCCGACCCTCCACATGGGGAGAGCCAAGCACTGGTGGCGCCGCCGCCGACGCCATTAGCCCTATTCTTCGTCGGCGCCGGTGCTGAACGAAGGCACTTCTTCCCAGGCTAGCTGTCATGCTGGGTGCAGTCGATCGGAGCAAGAATCCCGAGTCATTTTCCCACTGTAAAGATTGGTCCGTGGTTTTCATTAATAACAGGTGACACTTCAGGAAGACTGATCATAAGCATCATAATGACAAGGCGGCTGTGCATGGAACAGCATCATCTTCCAGGAATGAATCCTTTCCCCCCAAACCTTCCGTTTCGATCCACTTTGGGGTTATGTTGGGTCACGGGATGAAATCTCTGCCTGGGGAGAACCCCGGAACTGTCATCGCTTTCGGGCGTTGTTATTCTCAACTTCGGCTTCGTCTCCGTTCTCTCGCTCTCTCTCCATCTCTCCGCATCTTCTGATTCGGTCCTCTGGCCATCCCGCTCTCCGCAATTCGTTTGGTCCTGGAACCTTGGATTCTGCTACACTAGCCTTCCTTCTCTCAAATGGAGGACCCTCTTTAGAGACGGTTGACCCAGGAAGCAGCCTGCCGCTAAGGCCGCCTTCGGACGCCTTATTGGATCCCCTGGTCCCTTGGCCCCGCTCCGTTGGCTTCTGTCGGCGCCTCGCGAGACATGCCTATACTGCTCACGCCTTCTCAACGCAAACTTTTTGACTTTTTGCTTATTATTTTTTCATTTGATTGGATTTATTTTAATTTTCTAATTTTCTTTTTGCCCCTACACCTCTTGGCCCTGCAACCTCGTCAGCAATGGCACTAAATCCCGCATGATGCAAAAGAAGCCGGTGGTTTATTAACCCCCTCCCCCCCCGACCTCTTCCCCCGTCTGGATGCTTCTGTTGTTGTTCTGGTCGATGTGTGCGTGCCCAGTGTTTGGTCATCCTCTTTTCATTCCACACTTCAGATAGTTAAGGCACCGGCAAACAGAGACAAGTCACCATGTGGACTACCACCTCTGGCTTGAAGGGTCGCAAGCTTCGGCTTGCGATCACCTTCACCTCCGTCATGGGCTTTTCCCTCTTCGGTTACGACCAGGGCTTGATGTCCGGTATCATCTCTGGAGACCAGTTCACCAAGGAGTTCCCGCCCCTGGCCATCCCCCCGCACGCCGACAAATCCTACTCGCAGCATGTCTCGGTCCTCCGCGGTGCGGTCACCGCTTGTTACGAGTTGGGCTGTTTCTTCGGCGCGGTCTTCACCCTCATGTTCGGCGAGCGCATTGGTCGCACCCCGCTGCTGGTTGCCGGCGGTATCATCATGGTCGTCGGCGCTGTCATTTCCACCGCCGCCTTCGGTCCCCAATGGGGTCTAGGGCAGTTCGTCGTCGGTCGTGTGATCTCGGGTTTGGGTAACGGCATGGACACGGCCACTATCCCTGTCTGGCAGTCCGAGTGCTCCAAGGCCCACAACCGCGGTTTCCTCGTGTGCTTCGAGGGTGCCATCATCGCCGTCGGCACCTTCGTCGCCTACTGGCTGGACTTCGGTCTCTCCTATGTTGACACCTCGGTCCAGTGGCGTTTCCCCGTCGCCTTCCAGATCCTCCTGGCCATCTTCATCACCCTCGGCGCGCTGGCCCTGCCCGAGTCCCCCCGTTGGTTTGTCATGCGGGGCCACGATGACCAGGCCCGCGAGATCCTGGGCGCCCTTAGCGACACCTCCCCCGACTCCGACGCTGTCTATGCCGACCTCAACATGATGAAGGCCGATCTCAAGTCCACTGAGGGCGCCCAGGCAAGCTGGAAGACTCTCTTCACCTTTGGCAAGACTCAGGAGTTCCAGCGCATGATGATCGGTTGCTCCGGTCAGTTCTTCCAGCAGTTCACAGGCTGCAACGCCGCTATCTACTACTCCACCCTGCTCTTCGAGCGGAACCTGGACATGCCGCACCGCATGTCCCTCATTCTCGGCGGTGTCTTTGCCACCGTCTACGCCCTGGCCACCATCCCGTCCTTCTTCATGATCGAGAGGGTTGGCCGCCGTAACCTGTTCCTCATCGGCTTCATGGGCCAGGGACTCAGTTTCATCATCACCATGGGCTGTTTGATCAAGGGCGGCCCGGAGCCGTCCAAGGGCGCTATTGTTGGTATCTTCCTCTTCATCGTGTTCTTCGCCTTCACAACGCTGCCGCTGCCCTGGATCTACCCCCCCGAGATCAATCCCCTCCGCACCCGTACCATGGCCGCCGCCGCCTCCACCTGCACCAACTGGATCACCAACTTCGCCGTTGTCATGTTCACTCCCGTCTTCTCCGACGCCAGTCCCTGGGGCATCTATCTCTTCTTCGCCCTTGTCAACTTCATCGGCGTGCCGTTCGCCTACTTCTTCTACGCCGAGACCGCCGGCCGCGACCTCGAGGAGGTCGACCTCATCTTCGCCAAGGCCCACATCGAGGGCAAGTGGCCCTTCCAGGTCGCCAAGGAGATGCCCAAGCTCAACGCCGAGCAGATCGCCCAGATGTCCATCGAGCTGGGTCTCGACGTCCCCGAGAACCACGTCAGCGCCGGCACCGAGAAGGCCGAGCTCGCCCTCAGCAGCGGCGACAGCCAGGAGAAGCCCAGCACCAACTAATTTGTTTCCCCTCCGGGGCTCCCGCGGCGCGGATCGCGGTCGGTCGCCCGGCTGGGGCGGCCGGCTCGATCGATTCCACGTTGATGGTGTGGCCTGGTGGATTTTCCATGGATTCCCCCGCGTGGTCATCTGATCCACGCATCGTTCTGTTGCTTTCATTTCTTTTCACATTTTTCTCTTCCTTTTTTATTACCATTTTTTTCTTTTGTCACCATAGTGTCTACATAGACTTATATTATTTCCACCTTCCCCCGGTCGCACTGTCCTACAGTTCGTTAATTGGGGGAGTTCATGGGTGCAGCAACTACTACGTCCATAATTGAAGTTCCCACGTTCCAACGCTCCTCTGTAGCTCTCCGATCACCCTGTAGTAGAACCTAGTTTTCTCCCCCGGTTGCTGCTCTTCACATCTCATCTGTTCGGTACACGCCGAGACATGATCGTGCCTGATTCCCGGTTCGAAAACGTGCTCTGCGGTTTACGATCTCTCCTTGCATCCGACGCAGCCCCATCATCTGGACCCAGCACGTTGGAGCAAGGAGCATCGCCAAGACGCATCGCATCGTTCCAGGCCTCGTGCTCGGCTGACGTGGTGTCGACCACGCGGGGGTCTCACAGCAAGGAAGGCGAGCTACTGCACCAAGGGGGGGGAGGTGGAGATGAGAAGGCTCCTGCGGTGTCTCGGAGATTTTGACTTAGCTTTTTGCCTTAGTTTGAGTGGGGGCCGCTGAATGAAGCAGGAATGCCGCGAGACTCGTGACGCCTTGTTCGCGACGGGGGAAAGCATGGCACCCACGGGGATGGTTTCCGGCCCCTTGTGTCCAATCCCCGCCTCGCCCCTTACCATTTAAGCCTCGAGACGTGAAACGCATCCATTGGCCCGCCTGCATGGAGGAGCTCGTGGAACCGGTTTCGACTTCCTCGACGGGCCCATGCATCCCGGTTGTGATTCCGGGGTAGTTACTCTGGGTCCAACCCACGAACCTATTCTGCCTTCACCCCGCAATCGCGCAGGTAGATGGGGATGAAACATTCGGTTGCATGGCTAGCGTGGCAGATGGGGACACGCGATGGTCAATCCTAGTATCGGCTGGAGAAGTAGAACGACGGGGCCATCACGAGGTCGTATGACCTGAGACACAGCCTAGTAGTAGTTAGTATTAGGTCTTCCCTGGCCTTTGCACTCGGTGGGTCTCCTCTCGCATTTTTCGAGTCAGCGTGGTCTGTCTTGGGGAGACAAGCTCGTAATCCCTCCCCCAGTTAAGGATTCGCTAGGCCCATCGCCGCAAGACACAGGAGTTGGTTGACCGGGGTCCGGCGGATTATGCCGCTGCAAATTTCGGCTAAGTTTCTCGTGAGAGGCAATGCCATGACACATGTGAAGGGTGTTGATATCAGCGGCTTTGGCCCGTGTGGGCCATAGATCTTGCCCCTGACTCGCCCTCTCCGTGGGTGACGGATGGTCCTCCGCGTAGCTCTTCTTAAGGAACTGTGTACTTTATCTCAACACCCAGCACTGCGGGTGTTGTGCGCCAGTTTGTTAGACAGCAGTTGAAAATCAATGTGTTTCCCATCCTGGGGAGACTGTTGGTCACGAATGGGATGGCCACGATGCTACGGTGCGCCTTGCTGTCAATCCTGCATCGCCATTAATTTCGGGGTTGCGATGGTCGGCTTTGCATTTTCTCAGGCTGACTCCAAGTCACATTGAGTTCATGGTTGGACCTTGTACGCCAAGTACGCCTTATCCGTACACAAACCAGTCTCAGAAACCTTGTGTCCGGGTGGCTTACAACCACTCGTGAACAGTAAGCACTATAATGCATGCAAGTAAAGCTAGCTCCAGTCTGGATAATATACATCAGCGATGAAATCGTAGTCGCCAGTCTTGCCATGCTTGTCTATAGGAGAGTTGATCCCCCAAACAAGCATCATCCACACGACGATCCACAAGTCAGGCGGGCAGTCGGGCAAAAGATCCATATGATGTGGGTCACCCGCTTGACGTAACAGATCAAGGTGCTGTAGTGTAGTGGTCATCATGAATCGTTGTGGTTTCAAACAACAATTCCGATTCGACCTGGGTTCGATTCCCAGCAGCGCCATTGGCGTTGACTTGATCGTCTTTTTTTTTCCCTCTCTTTCTTTCTCTCGTGTTCTTCTTGTTCACTGGGTTTTCTTGTTGAATCTTGATTTTAATTTGGTTTTTTTTGGTGCTTTCCTTTCTTTCATATATTTCTCTTGGTCAAGGACATCTTGATGGCTGCATCTATTATAATGGTAGCAGCTAAAGACTTGTGCTGATCGTGGAGACAACGATATCCCGCTGCAAGATACACGATATATATATTTTCCCTCCACCTTGACGCCGCAACCTGTTCTTGGGCGTAGCACGTTAAAAGACCGCTATACCTTGAGCCTAGAGTATTTCATTGTAATTGCAACAATTGATCTTGGTTGCAGGGCACTATCACGCTCATTATCATCCTCGTAAGTATAGTCTCTTTGCATTGCAGTGTTTTCACAGCCAACACCGCGATCTATAACGAATTACAAGTCACCCCGTCAGTCATTCTACCTTCATTCAAAAGTGACAATATGGGAGTCAGGAACTCTCGCATGGAGCCAGCATAAATATCAAATAAGTCAGTCCTTCTCATCTTTCGGGGATTGGCGTTCCCTGGGTCTGTCAATAGACGCATATAGGGCCAATACCCAACAAATGTTCCGAGCAGGAGGCTTGACGGCCTTGCTACCCTTGAGTCATGTCAGCATGACTTTTCATCTTGACGATTCAACCACAAACACCAATTGGCGAGTGGTAGAGCCTTGATATCCAACACGTCCCCTTCATAGCCTGGCACTTGCTTCTGGCTCTGTTTATGACTCTGGCTCTGGCTCTGGCTCTGGCTCTTAGCTGCAGGTGAGCAGTTTACAAATCTTAGGTTTTATAGATTTAACAACTTTTATTCCGGCTCATAACCTGTTGGCATGTCGTTCCAGCTTGACTATTCAATCAAAAACATTGATTGGGGAACTGTAGGGCTTTGATATCCAGCAGGGTAGAGCCAAATCGATCCATCTACTATGCTGGGGAGTGTTGTATCATACCACATCTAAAACCTCATAGTGAATTTACCATCTGCGATGTTTGACTCAATGAAGGGAATTCATTCGTATCACGAGTCGCCAACTCCTCTTATCAATAGACTGTACCCTCTTGCATTCATAGAATCTGGCTAACAGGCTTCTGGTGAAATGTACATGCATAAAAAAACTCGCAATACAGCCTCATTTAATCCTCCGCCTCATGTCAAAACATCTCGTCGAAACATCTCCCCAAGATAGGCCACCCGCCTATAAATTGACTGAAGACTTATTTGCTAATGCTCATGCATAGCTTATCATCATCGACCTGGGCACAGCCCATATTATCGCAGCAGTCGCTGTCCACAGAACACGCGGTTCCCTCTTTCAAACAGCGCTAGAGGATGATCTGTAAGTATAACTTCTAATGGAGGAGTCCTCGCATGTTGGAAAAACTTACCTTTTCGATGCCAGGCATAGCAACGGCGAGGCCGATGAGGGAGAGAGAAATCACACTGATGAGCTTCATGGTGATCAAAGGTTGACTCAAGCTGAAGGTCAAGATAGAGAGTTGAAGATGGATGGTTCGAAAGGTTTCTGGGGATTTTGGGTTGTGGATGAAATTGAATAGGACTGATGGGTGGTTTCACGGGCGTATTTATACCCTCGCTCGGCTCTAGGCATTGCTCAAGGCATTCTCATGACTCCAACTCAGGTCGCTCAAGCTGAGTCGTAGACTACACTGCCGACTTCAGCCTTCACCTTGCGCCTTGGTAGCCTCCACATCGTCTGCATACAACGCAGACAGCGAAGTCGTTGATCATCGCGACCTGTGGAGCACCTCTGTGCTGGCTGTGACTAAGGCGCTCTGAATCAGGGCCCTATTGGGCGTCGTCCGCCAGTCTATGAAGGCTGTGTCGTTGCGACGCGTAGACCTTGCTTCGGATGGACATACTACATGGTAGGCGCACAAATGGAAGAAGACGGACGAACGAATACATGTCGATGCAGAGCCTCAAGGAGAATGTCGATCAAAACCCCACCTCCACGACCAGCAAATGAAAGATGTGCCCGGGCAGGCGCCTCCGAGTTATGCGGATAATCAGTGCCATATGGGGAACGGTGGGTGTTAATCAGCCAGATTATTGTGGAGAACATGTTAGGATCAGGGTCATACCAAGTCTGACCAAATGCCAATTCGGTCTTGTAATGCAGTGGCCAAGAGAAAGCGTACTGTGTGTATGTCTGGCGAGGCTGTGACTGTGGGACTCGCCGTCACTACTTCATATTAATGAAACGAGAATCACGCCGGTATCCTATCTCCTACTGTTCAATTGGGGCGAAGTAATGAAGATGGTGCTTGTTGATCGGTCTTGGCCACTGCACCAAAATACTGAATTGGCATCTGGTCGCCATCGATATGGCTATATCCCAGCAACCAGTGTAGATCACTCGGTCTCCATGACGGTCGAGGCTCAGGCTACAGTATTCCTCGTTCTATCGCACTAGAAACCGAGGTTTCGTTGTCGTTGAGCGCACCGATATTGGTACACCGATTAGTCGTGGTAAGGACGGTTTCCCCACACTTGCATTCTTCGAGTCCGTCTGGCAGTGTCGTCAGATTATCTATCACATGAGGGACAAGACAGTGATGGGGGGTAACTAGACTGATTTGTGATATCAATGTTTGTAACCAGTGAAGCGGGTCAGCTGACCATATCAACGCAGAATCTCGTGTGATGGTAAAGCCTGCAGAATTTCAGTCTTCATACCATCACTATCATTCCATTTATCCCGCAGAAGTCTTCCATTATATCTTTTCTTGAGCTTATCGATCCTTTCCTACAAAGCTAGCGCTGCACCGCTCAGTCAATTCACCCGACTGGACCCGGGAGGTCCGACAGCCACGATGGCCTTAGGGTTCAGTCGGCTGATCCGGCCAGGATTCTTTGTTGGGCCCGGGGAAGGATCCGGCAAGCCAATCAGTCGGCGTCACACCCATCGGAGCGATACCGAACTGGAAAGCACCAGAGCCGTCTCTAAAAAGTAAGTCTCTCTTCGGCGGACCTTTATTTCCTGACAGAAGCGCGTGGACCATCTCAGACTCCCACAATGCCCTCATTGATATCAGCGCCACCCAGTGGAGCTCGATGCGATTGATTCCGGGTGTCATTTACAAGACACGGAGCTTGAATTACACCAACTCCAGATTGTGCCACGCCAGCCATACGGCCAACAAGACGGCCAGGGATGATGCGAACGCGGGGAGCAGGACACAGTCCAGGATGCGACCCAAGGAATGGCTGCAAGGAGACATATATTGCGCACGCCGATGAGAGTTTTTGGACGTACCTCTAGAGCCCCCTCTACCCTTCACCCGCAGTTTCCTTTGACACTCTTAAGGCGACACGGGAATTGACATGTTGACTCGGGCGAGTTCCTCTCGAGACGAACGGGGCCCGACGTCGGATCATACAGAGGACTAGACCTCTGACGACAGACTACCTCAGTTGAGGAAACGTCAACGAGAGGAGGGTTTGATTCCCACCGGTATTCCGGATGTCTGAAACGTTTCGGCCTGCGATAGGGTTACATTGGCGATCTACACGGGGGTCTGCGATGGCGTGCGGTCGCGCGATCGGAGGGATCTTCATTTGACACGTTACGGCGAGGTGTCAAGTCCGTCAATAGATGGATCGGTACGTATACGCCGATGTCGACGGAGAGGTATCAAGTACGAAGGACAAGTTTCGATGAGACGTCTGGTCGGAATGATGTATCATTGATTCATCACATTCGTGTGAGGTATCTGTCCTAGGCTGTCATCTAGGCCCCCCGGGCATCAGGGAGGATGATGGTGTCTCCATGCCGTCGTCAGGAAGACCGACCGAAGTTGATCCGAACCTGAGCTCACCACGGTCCTTCGTTCTATCTACGATATCCTCTGTCAAGTATGATCATTGGACGGAAATCACTCCGTGACCAGCACCGGTTAGTCAGCCCGAAGGCCATTGTAACGATACCGTAAGGCGTGTTCGGTCACAACTGGACCACCGCCACCGGGCAGTGCCTGACTGCCTGGGAGAGGAAGGGGGGCGCGGTGGAGATGCCAAGAGATGCGGGCGGTCAGCGCTAGTGGGTAGCGGGACTTGGCACCCGTTTAGGCATCAGTTTTGGCCAGCCTCAGGGGGTCACCTCCAAGTAAGGAACCTTGCGGACACGGCGGAGTTCGTGGTGAGGACCGGTCAGGGCCCGTTGGGGAAGAGCGCCTTACTGGGCTTTTTGTCCAGACGGGGGAGTGTGCCGGATGATCGATGCCTTGCCCGGAATGGAACCGTCGCGGACCGCACTGATGGATGACCTGGGGCTGTGAGACGTTTTCGAACAGAGGGCAGGAATGAGTTCAACCGATCAATCAAACGAGGAGGATGGTATTCTATCAAGAGATAAACCAATAAGCCAGGAATGAAGAAACAAAGAAAGGCACCGTACTGCCGCCATGACCCCAGAGTCCCAGACAACCGTCAATGTTAAAGAAAGAAACCATGCAGAGAAGGGGCGATGAGTCAGCGCCGAGACATCCGCCTCAGCCCTGGGAGGGAGAAAGATCCATCTCACTGGTCGAGGGTTCGTGTGGTGGAGGGCCCCAACGTCAACTCAACCTAGGTACTGGACGCAGTCGACTGGGGGGCGAGGGGCCAGAGGATTGCTCCGTCGACCATCTGGAATCCTACTGGTGTAGGATCCTTCAATTCTCCCACCGCTGTGGGGCATGATTGGTCCGCAATTGACCCTCCTTCAGATTCAACCTTGAAGTCAGAGGGAGACGTGCGGATTCCCAAGGGGCGCTCGGATGAAGTGTGCGGTGAAAATTCTGTCCCCATTGCGTATCGCCATAATCATCATGATGTGAATGGGAGTTTATTTCCACGAGAGGGAAAGACTCGGTGGACAGGAACAGGGACAACCAACGCCGCCCCTGTCACGTGGCGTCGCCCCTAACGTGGTATTGTGTCGCGTGTCTTTTTCCTTGGGTCCGATCGAACCTTTTTCTCCTTCTTCTTCTTCTTCTTTCTTTCTTTCGTTCTCACCTCCGGCTTCCCCCCTTTCCTCTCCCTCTCTCTTCTTCCCTTTCTTCCTTCATTCCCTCCCCCC